CCTCCGCGTCTAGCAACTCGCGGGGCCTGTCACGCCCACGTCCCATCAGACAGTGCTCACACCAGCGCCTCGGTGGGCAGTGCTGGTTCTCCTCGTAGCGCTGTCTCTCCTCCGGCGTTGGCTCGCGGACGTCGGGGAATGTGGTCGGTTCCACCACCTGCCCCGACTCCGCCTGGCGCCTCATCCCCTCGCGCCCCAGCTCGCGGAAATCGCCCGTCGCCGCCCTCACATTGCGTCTGCCCTCGTACTCGACGAGCCGTGCCAGCACTGAGCCTTGGTCCCGTAGTACGGGGCGTAGATTTCCTTGAGGCGCTTCTGCACGGCGTCGATCCTCGAGCTTGGTCTAAGCACCTCGAAGTACGACCGTCCCAGCGACTGCGCCGTCGCGGGCGCCTCCTGGCCCTGCGCGGGCGCCGCCGCCCCCCGCGCCTACGGTGGCGCCGCCGCCACCTGCGCCTGCGGTGCCGCGGCTCCTGCCTCTGGCGGCGCTGGGTCACGCGACCCTCGAGCTTCTGGGCGCGGGGGGGGATCCTCTCCTCGCACCGTCCCCCACGGAGCTCCCGTGGCGCCAGCTGCGGCGACCCTGGCAGGGCAGGCTGCGAGCTTGGCCTCGTCCATCGCGTCGTGGATCTGCGCGGCGAAGTAGAACGCATTGCCGACTAGCTCCACGCCCGCCCGCTCGCCCGTCTTGAGGTTCACGGCGCGCGGGTCGCTCTCCTCAAGGACAGACCTGAACTGCTCGCGCGCCAGCTTCCCGAGGCTGAACACCGCGTCCTGAGGGGCGAGGTCGTTGCTTACTCTGAGGCCCCCCAAGCACGGCCGGTGACCCTTCTCGCCACCGACGACCATCGGGGTCCCACGGAGCCCCTCGGCACCTAGCCTCTGGCCGCTCACCGCGGTGAGCTTGGGCGCAGCGGGGCCCTCCTGGACCGTTGGATGCTCTGCGCCGAACGCCTGGCCGCAGAGGTGCTCGTCGCTGCCACCGTCTGCGAGGATGAGCCCTCTGCGCCCCTCCCCGCGGCAGCCTCCGACCGAGCTCCTGACTCCAAAGACCCAACCGACCTCGTCGCCGTCGGAGCCCGCAGCCACCACGCCCACGGTCCTCTGGCCCCCAGCGCCCGCAGGGGCCTGCTGGACTGCGGCCGCCTTCGGGGGCACTGCCGACGGCGCCCGTGGCTTGCCAGCCGCCTTGCGCCAGCAGTCCTTCTCCTTGTGCCCCTGCTTCTGGCACGAGTTGCAGGTGCCTCGAAATTGGCGGGATAGCTGCCCTTGAGCTCGTCATTCTTGACTCCCTTCTTGCTGCCCTTTCCGCCCTTGTCACCCTTGCCGCTCACCTTGTCACCCGCGCCGCCCCCCGCCTCGCGCTCGGGCCAAGGCTGCTGCGGCAGGGCATGGCCCGAGATCGCACCGATGTCCATCGGCGCCGCGCCTTGATCCACCGCGCCGCTAGCTGCGAAGACCTGCCCCGACGCCATCCACTCTCTCAGGTGGGTCCTCAGCGCCACGTGCGAGATATTGGCGGCCGTCGGAGCGTTGCGTAGCACGGTCTTGTACTGCCCGGGGCCATGAACGAGCAGCGCGGCGATGCGGAACTCATCGCCGAAGTCCTTCCCCGCCTGCGTGACGTACCTCGCCACGTCGTTGTCACAGTCAACGAACTGGTCAGCGAACGGCTTCCGGTTACCCCACCTGGGGTTGAGCAGGCCGCTGAGCATGGCTGCGAACCCGTTGCCCACCCCAGGTTCAGATTCATTCTTGATCGCCCGCCAGGCGACGAAACCCGTGCCTGCCTGCGAGCGTCACCATCGCCAGCGCCTTGCGCTGGGCCTTGGTGATCAGCACGGCATGCAGCAGCTTGCTCGTTGCTGCCGCGCGCTCGCCCATGCTGACGTTGTCCACCGCGAGCGCTGGCTGGGCCCCAACGTTGTCAATGAGGTCATCCCAGCCCATCAGCGCGAAGAACGCGTGGGCTTTGATGGACCAGCTGGGCCAGTCCTCATCTCTGCCACTGAACTCCGGCAGCTGGATGTCGCCTCTGCAATCCACCAGCTGCTCCCTCGGCGCCCCTGCCATGGGCAGCGCACGTCCTCAGTCTTCCCGTGGATCTGATCCGCGTAGTTCACTGCAGAACCACGCTCACCGCTACCATGGCAGAAATTACGCGGATGCGTGGGGAGAGCGTATATTGGGGTTCTTTTTCCTCCAACGCAGCTCGAACAAAAGGGCCTGCGGGTATGCTACGAATTAATGGCGCCCGAATCACTCAAGATCCCGAGCAAAAGCCGGAACGAAATTATCCAGGACACTCCGGGCCCATCCTGCCATTTTCCAAGCGAAATCCGCTCTGCGATGTTGGCGTTCGGCCGGGCGTGTCCTCCTTTAGGGGGATTCTGGACGAACCCAAAAAAAGATAGTGTAGAAAGATTCCAAAAATGTCAAAAAATAGCCGACAAGGCGTCCCCGAACTATTTCTTTACTATCTTTGAATATTCCTCCTGTGGTGACTACCTACCAGACCACCCCAACCCAACCCGAAGACCCGAATTTGACCCGAATGTCGGGTTGGGGGAGTACGGGTTCCATGTTTTTTCCAACGTTCCCCGACCCACCCCCACTGGAAATGGAGGGCACATTGAGGGCTTCGGGTTGGGTTGGGGTGGTTTGGTGGGTGGTGAGGTTGGGCTCACGCTGCACTGGGCCCCTGCTCCGAAAGAGGACGGGGCGCCGACTGTTTCTCACAACCATTTGTTTGGCACAGGTCCCACGCAAACTGGCCACTCTTGGGGTGGCCGGTCAAACTTTCGGGTCGTCTTCGGAGCGAGCCCGACAGGTTTTCCTCAAGACGTCCTATGTGGTTTGCTCGTTTTCGGGTCCATACGCTGAATATTCCTCCTGTGGAGAGACAGGCCCGACCCAATGCTGGCGCCATGAGCTCTGGGGGCCGCGGGCCGGCAGAGCCCCGCCGCACTCCCGGCCTGTGCCGCGCGCGGCCCGACCAGTCCCCCGCCGGCCGTGGAGCCTTAGGGGGGGGCGATAGCCTTAGGTCGGGAATCGAACTCTATACACCGACGCTTTTTCCAGCCCTGCATTGAAATTGGCACTGGAGAGCGGATCGTGGTGTATGCAGGACCCTGGTGTATACATTTGTCGTTGTTTCCCTGGGACATCGGGGAAAAAAGTATACACCACACCACCCCAGCGTCGTCCCCGACCCTCAACAAGTCCTGGGATTGAAAAACAGCCCGCCACTGGTAATGTATATGTTCCAGTTTCCAATTCGGTCGGGCATGTCCCCCTACAGGCGGACCTTGGACGAAAAAATAGAACTTGATAAGAAGTGGTCCCAGATGGTCAAAAAAATAAAAATTGATAGTATATACATATATCTATGTATACACACATATATATATATATTAAAATCGTCGAAAAATCGTCCAGTGACTACGTCTTGACTAAATTTCACTACGCATTCCTCCTGTAGAGGGACGTGCCCGACCTAACCCTAGAGCCCTGGGAGGGCGGTAGCCCCAGGTCCCTGGGGGGGATCCAGGGCCCCCTCGTGCTATGCAGCGGAGGCCAGTCCACAAGAAGCCTTCCACAGGAATCCCAGCCCTGAGACCCCAGGACGTCCATCGATCTCTGGTGTGGGGACGTCGCGCTTTCCACTGCAAGACCATCGAAGCCCTGGAAACCCAGGGCACCCTGGAGGCAAGCAGGGTGCTTCCTGGCATGGGCCCCCACTGTGGGCGCCACGACGCAGCTCTGGCCCGTCCAGAGCACAACAGAACGACAGAGTGTCCGCCACCGTGCCCCTGAGGCACGAGTTGGCCAGGCCGCTCCACGGTCCACGCGTCCCACAAGCCACCTGCTCAAAGGCCCTTCGGTCCCGAGCAAGTCTCGACGCAGGGCTCGCTGGCCGTGCCGGCAGCTCTGGCGGAGAACGGGCAGTACGATGATCGAGAGGAGGAGGAGGAGGAGGAGGAGGAGGAGGAGGAGGAGGAGGAGGATGAGGAGGAGGAGGAGGAGAAAGAGAGGAGCAGGAGGAGGAGCAGGAGGAGGAGCAGGAGGAGCAGGAGGAGGAGGAGGAAGAGAGAGGGCCCCCTCGTGCGCACCCGAGGGGTGGGTGGGGAAGGGGGGGGGGGCAGCCCGTGGGGTGCGGCGCACGGGGCACGGCTTCTGGGGTGCAGTCTGTGGGGGGGGGGGGGGAGCCGGAGGAGTAGGAGGAGGACGAGGAGGAGGAGGAGGAGGAGGAGGAGGAGGAGGAGGAGGAGGAGAGCCAGAGCGGAGGAGGAGGAGGGGGGGGGGGGGGGCGAGGTGCGGGCGGGGGGGGGGTCAGCTCGTGCTGTGCAACTCGTGCAGTGGGTGGGCAGCTCGTGCTGTGCAGCTCGTGCTGTGCAGCTCGTGGGTGCGGCGGCGGGCCCAGGGCGGGAGGACTTCTCAGAAGGCTCGGAGTTCCCCGAGCCTTCCGAGAGGCGTTCTGAGCCTTCCCCGAAGGCACGGGAAACTTCTCAGAGGGCACGGGGCCTTCTGAGAAGTCCCGCCGCCTTCTGAGAAGGCCTTCTCCTTCTCACTTCCCCCTCACGCTCGCCGCCGAGGCAAAAATTCTGAGGGTCCACGGCGGGAGACAGGTAGTCTGAGAACTCATTACAGCGTTCCATGCTGGTGCCGTCCTCTTCACATCTGAGCGCCCCTCCACTTAAGGTCAGGCGTCCGCTCTCCTCTCCAAGTTGCCCCCCGTTCCGTGTCTCCCCTCCTCCTTTGCTACGTCCTGCTCCGAACGTCACACCAACCTACCATGGGTGTCTCAAATCTCGCTGGTGACGGATGGTCTCGCTCCCCGGGTTCCCTCTGATCGACATGCCACACGACTCAAGGAGGCCAAGATCAGCAGACAGAGCAGTCACCCACCCGTCTTGAGAACTCAGAGGTGCACCTTTACACTGCGCCACCCAGCTCGGGATCACACATCCGAAGGGACGACTGGCAGCTGGCGAAGGCGCCCATTTGCCCACCGTAGCCGCAGCCACCTTCGCTGGGGTGTGGCATGGGAAAGCACAAGGCTGTCATTCGCGGCACGGAAGGGAAGTGCATAACGTGGATCGGGATGAAGGGACTGGCGCGTGCGTGCTGCTTCCCTGCATAGACGGCTTCGTCACCCTAGGTTCCTGGAGGCCGCGCTGACGCCCACCTCCCGAGATGCAGCCGCTGCGCAGCGCCAGAAAATAAACATCTTCCCTAAGGAATGCCGTGGGAGACGACGCGTAAACCATAACCTGCCGAAGGGCCCAACCCCGCACAGCTGCGCGTGGCGCAGGGCACGGCCCTCCGTCCGTGGGGGACGTCGGCGAACAGTGGGGTAGGAGGGGGCAGGAGGAGGAGGAGGAGGAGAAGCAGCAGGAGGAGGAGAAGGAGGAGGACGAGGAGGAGGAGGAGGAGGAGGAGGAGGAGGAGGAGGAGGAGGAGGGAGGAGGTAGGAGGGAGGAGGAGGAGGAGGAGGAGGAGGAGAGGAAAAGGAGGTAGGAGAAGGAGGAGGAGGAGGAGGAGGAGGAGGAGGAGGAGGAGGTAGGAGGAGGAGGAGGTGGAGGAGGAGGAGGAGGAGGAGGAGCTGACGCCACGGGCGGTGGCGCGCCCAGCGGCTCGGCCAAGAAAAGAGGAGGAGGAGGAGGAGGAGGAGGAGGAGGAGGAGGAGGAGGAGGAGGGAGGAGGAGGGAGGAGGAAGGAGGAGGAGAAGGTAGGAGGAGGAGGGGGCAGGCACGCAGAGGCGTCCCGAACTCCCTGAGGAGCACGACGCACGCGAGGGGTGTGCCGAACTGAGAAGCGGGCGGCGGCAGCGCATGCAGACGGGCCAAGCGAAGCCGCAGGTGGAGCCCCCCAACGTTAGGAGGCAACTACTGGGAGGTCTTCGTCGGAATGATTAAAGAGAATTAAACCTATTTGCGGGGCTGTTATGCCGGAAAGGGCCTCGGATCAAGCGGGATCAAACCGGATTAACCGGGATTAAGCTGGATGAAGCTGGACTGAGCGGGATTAAGCCGGATTAAGCCGGATTTCGGACCAGGGCAAAATCAGAATTTGACCTCTCAGGAGTTGCATCCGAACCAACGGGCACGAGACGCGTGAGGAATGTGACGAACTGTGTGGCGGCAGCGCATGCGGTCGGGCCCATTGAACGCGCATTTCTAGATCCGCAAAGTGTACGAAAGATGTGAGGATGGCCCGAAAAGTGTCTTGTTGTAACGCTTGCGGTCGGCCCGCCAACGCCGCGAGTGGACTTACCTAAGGGGCGCGAACCGTGCGATGGTGCGCCAAAGTGGGCGGCGGCAACGCATGCGGTCGGGCCCACCGAAGCCGCATCTGCAACTCCAAAGGTACGAAACGTGTGCAGGTATGCCGACCTGGGTGGCGGTAGCGCATGCGGTGGGGGCCACAGAGGCTGCAGGTGGAGCTCCTTGGGAAGCGCGAATCGTGTGAGGTGCGCGCCGGACTGGGTGGCGCATGCGGTCGGGCCCACTGAAGCCGAAGGCGGAGCCCCATACGGGTCGCGAAACGTGAAGGAGTGCGCCGAAACCAGCGGCTACAACACATGCAGTCGGGCCCGCCTAGGCCGTATGTGAAGTAAGGGGCGCGAAAACATGCAAGTGGTGCTCTGAAATGGGCAGCGGTAACGCATGCGATCGGGAACGCCGAAGCGATGGGCACGAAACGCGTGAGAGTGAGCCGAAATGGGTGGCGTTGACGCATGCGGTTAGGCCCACTGAGGCCCAGGTGTAGCCCCAAAAGGGGCACGAAACGTGCGGAGGGAGGAAGAGGAGGCGGAAGACGTCAGGAGGAGGCGCGAAGCGCAGCGGCTTCAAAACGAGGACCCAACAACTCAAGAAGGTCAAGATCAATCGAACCTTCATGTCCAAGCTGTGGCTATGTCAAACGAACCTGGGGCGACTTGTGCGGGCAGGGCACGGGAAAATGCTGTGTCGAGCTGAGCACAACATGCAGGAATCTCCTGAACATGTCATCCAAAGAGTCCGACCTGGTCTACTCCAGGGACCCACGCCCACGCGCGAGGGGTCACGAGGGGCCGAAAGACGGGCGCAGAGGGCTCGGGGGGGTCGTGCCATGACGACTTCGGCGCTGGTCTCTGACACCACGTGGACCGTTCAGCATCGAGCGGTCGCGGCCTTCGGCAGCGCAGATCTTTCGATAGATCGACCGATTCAGAGCCTCCGTCGGCGCTCAACCTCGAACGCCCGCGCGGGGGTCGCCACCGCGTCGACACTACACGAACATACCGTGCTTGGGGGACACTCCAGGCTGAACTCGGCCAGACCGAGCTCGGCCCGGCCGAGCTCGGCCCAGGCCGAGCTCGGCCCGGGCCGAATTCGGCTTGGCCGAGGTCGGCCTGGCCGAGGTCAGCCAGCCGAGTTCAGCCTGGCCGAGCTCAGCTGGCCGAGTTCAGCCCGGCCGAGTTTGGCTATGTTTCGTTGCTGCCGCCGCGAGGGGCCACGAGGGGCTGCGAGGGGTCGTGGGCAGCGGGCCACGGGCCGCAGGAGAGCGGAGCAGCAGGGGCGAAACCCCGGCGTAAGACAGAGCGCTGCCACGGCAAGCTGCTGGGCGGAACTGAGCACTGCGGGTGTGGGCGTAGCCGAAAGCAGAACCGCTGAAACAGGCGAACTACACAGACATCTGTTCAACTCGGAGGATCCTCAGGGTTTCACTTTCCCCCATGCCCCCAGAGCAGTCCTGGAGCACCAGCCATGTGCGCTGAAACTGCTACACGCGTCATAGAGTGGCTCCTGGGAGTGGCCTTCGCCGGCGGTTTCGTAATCTTGCACCACACACGGAGCCAACTGCGTCACACAACGTGTAGATGAATGAAGCAGCATCGTCTATGTCGTCTCCGCTGCCCCGCTGAAGCGCTTTCTCCGCTGGTTGATCTGCACTGTACATGCGCTGCTCGTCTGGGCATCCTCGATCATACTCTCGTGCTGCTCTTGCCGAGCGGCCGTGCACTCCTGCCGCTTCCGACGGGATTGGCCGGCGAACCCAGGGCACTCGTGCTGTACAGGCGGCAGCCTCTCGGTACGCGCATCGGATGATGAAATTCATCAGCAGCTGGCTGCGAGGGCAAAGCTGAAGGGGCCCAGGGACACACAAATAACCACACACACGCAAATCCCCGGGTTCCCCATATGTTTCTATATTTCCCCAAACAGCTTGCTGAACGGGGTGCTGTTGTGATAGAAGCTAACTCCGGCCGAGGGAAGTCGGAGCAGAGACATCCTCACAAAAATTTGATGGTCCGGGCCGTTTCGCTTGAGACATCCTCACAACTCTCGTTTCTGAGTTGGCCGGGATTGGCCGTTTCGCCTGAGACATCCTCGAAAAATTGCGCTCCGGGACGCCGCGCGAGAGGTCGTCCGGGCCATTTCGCTTGAGACATCCTCGAAACTCTGAGCCCCGAGGTGCCGTGCGAGAGGTGGTCCGGGCCGTTTCGCCTGAGACATCCTCGAAACTCTGAGGTCTGAGATGCCTTGCGCGAGGTGGTCCGGCCCGTTTCGCCTGAGACATCCTCGAAACTCTGACCTCGGAGATGCCGCGCGAGAGGTGGTCCGGCCCGTTTCGCCTGAGACATCCTCGAACTTCTGAGCTCTGAGATGCCCTGCGCGAGGTGGTCCGGCCCGTCTGACCTGAGACACCCTCGCAACTCTGAGCTCTGAGATGCCTTGCGCAAGGTGGTCTGGCCTGTTTCGCACAAGACATTCTCGCAACTCTGAGCTCCCAGATGCCGCGCAAGATGTGGTCCAGCCTGGGGGCCCAGAAGACCACATGTTACATATCCTCCCTGGGACCCTGGGAGCCCCAGGAGGCCCCAGAGAGCTCCAGGAGGCCGCAGGACGCCCAGGACAGGCCCCAGGGGTCCCCAGGACATTCCCAGGAGGCCCAAGAACGGTCAAGTTAATGCACATCCGGTTTGATATCCCCCCTTGGAGCCCCAAGAGGCTTCAGGAAGCCCCAGGTGGAGTTCAGGAGGCCACAGGAGGCCCAGGAGGAAGCCCCAGGAGGTCCCCAGGAGGCCCCAGGAGGCACCAGGAGGCCCTCGCAACTCGGAGCTCTGAGACGCCGCGCTCGAGGTGGTCCGGCCCGTTTCGCCTGAGACTTCCTCGCAGCACGTTTGCCCGAGAAATCGTCGCAACTCTGGGGTCCGAGATGCCGCGCGCGAGGTGGTCCAGCCCGTTACGCTGGAGACATCCTCGCAACTCTAGGCTCCGAGATGCCGTTCGGGATGAAGAGGAGGTCGGAGGAGGAGGAGGAGGAGGAGGAGAAGGAGATGATGGAGGAGGGAGGAGGCGGATGATGTGGATGAGGGAGCAGGCAGGGGGAGGGGGAGGAGGAGGAGGAGGAGGAGGAGGATGAGGAGGAGGAGGAGGAGGAGGAGGAGGAGAAGGGAATTGCAGGAGAGGACCTAACGGGAAGCGAGTGTGACGTGGACTTGCCAAAACGTGTGCGAGAGGATGCCCGGCCCGTTTCGTTTGAGACATCCTTTCAATACTGAGCGCCAAGATGTCGCTCGCGAGGTGGTCCGGCCCGTTTCGATTGAGCCATCCTCGCAATACGAGGCTCGAAGTTGTTGCGCGTGAGATGGTCTGGCCCGTTCTGCCTGAGACGTTTCGTAGCACAAGGGCTTCAATCACAACCTCTCTCGTTCCTTCTCCAGCCTCCCCCGCCTCCCTCTTCCCACTTCCCGCCTGGTTCCTCGTCCCTCCTCCCTCCTCCCGCCTCCCGCCTCCCGCTGCTGCGCCTCTGCCTCCGCCTCCCCGTCCCCGCCGTCGTCGTTTCTGCCGCCTCAACATCCGTCATGCGCGCACTGCCTTCCGCCCTCCCCAGACATCCGACGTCACGATTTTTCTTTGGAGACGTGCGCCGCGTACCTCTCGATATCATCCCCGGGGGAACCATCACGACATGCCCCCCCGCTTCCGCGCCCTCCCCCACTTCTTCTTACAGTTGCTTCCGAGTTCACAGCATGGCGGCGGAGCCTATCACAGTGCCGACCCGACAGCCTACTCGTCGACTAGGTGCGAGAGAGTACGACAACCTCTAGCGTTTGCTTCCTGATAGGTATGCGTCACACAAGTTTTCGTGCAAACATCATGTGTAAACATCATGTAATCATGTTCTAACATGCCATGCCAGTCCGCACTGGACGGGCACGCAATCGACCTTGGAAACCGCAGTGGGTCTAAAAACCCTGTTTGGGGATACTGCACTCCGGCTATAATTTCTGGGTTTTCGTCTTCCCCCCCACTTCCCATATTGTCCAATAGTTTCCTGGGTATCGACGATTGATTGTGTCTGTGATTTGCTTCCCCTCCTGAAAAAAGCGCTGGCTGCCTCAGGCCTGCTGCTCGCCCCCGCTCCCCGCACCAACCTCCTCTGCTGGGCCTCCCCTCCCTCTCCGGGCCGCTGCCGCTGCCGGGGGGAGAGCAGAGAGAGGCGGAGGCGCAGCAGCCGCTCGCTGCCTCCGTGGGGCACTCCACCACAGCCCTGGGCGGGAGTCGATCCAGCATGGGCGAGACGAATTCGGCGACGTGAGGCGGCAGCATGCGACAAACGACACCTCAGACACAGGATGGGCACGAGAGGGGGCATGAATCGGTACAGGGCTGAGGGGATACTTTCCCGCCGAGCTGCAGCCACAGCGATAACTGGATAGGTTGGCCAGCAGCGGAGACTTCCACCCAGAACACTTCGACGAGCTTGAGCCTGACTGTGCCCAGAAGAAGCACCGTGCTCCTAGACCTCCTTCACTTTGAACACATTCGCGATTCGATTATTGTGGCTCTGCGAACTCCTCTCTTGGTCTCCTGGGGGCCCTCTGAGGGCACCTGTGCTTACGCTGCGCCGGAGCGCTGTCCTGGTGGCGAGGCTTGCAGGAAGCCAGCTGGGCACATCGGAAGCTAAAAGCTGAGTACCAGACCCGCATACGTTAGGCTCGAGTCCAAGTTGAACGCTAAGGGTAGGCGTCGAGCTGAATCTAAGGCAGACTACAACATGGCGAGGAGAGGCGAGCGCGCGGTGCCGCCGGGAACGGGGGCCTCGGAGGCCTGCGCGGGGGGAGCAGAGCCCTCAATTCGTCATGGCCGCGTCGTGGCATCCCATCGCATTATCGAATACATGTGCCGTCTCATCCGTACTCCACTTGCAGGTGAAAGAAAGCAGGACATGGACAGGCGTGACAGAGAAGCACATGGTAAATCGAACCTGAGGGCACAACTGTCTTGAGCTGATGGATGCAGATACAGGTATAGCTAACTGGGGCTGAAGCTTCGTCTCAAAGCGAAGATCACTTTGACCCTGTGTATGCATAGATATGAGGGCAGCGCTGCAAGCTTTGGTTCGGACTGAAACTGCAGCTGGCGATCGAGTTAGAGGCGAGGTAAATGCTAAAGCTTAAGCCAAGAGAAGACAGAGCTGCACAAAAAAGGTGAAGCCACATCAGGAGTTGTAGCCAGAGCTACAGCTACAACGCCGCACCGAACGTAGAGCCAGAGCCAAATCTAAAGCCACCGCCTCGATCGGCAGCTAAAGCCACAAGATTGGGATGACTACAAAAACTGCGCGTCAACGAACTTGCTGAGAGCGCGAGTCATGCGCGAGGTGCCTCCCACACCCAGCCTCCTGATCGGCCAAGGGCGGGCCGTACCAGCATTGATTGACGGACGAGGCTTCCCACTCCGATGCCGTCCTGCACGGTTTCCCCCGGGGCCGTTCGCGACCCGAGGAGGAGGAGGAGGAGGAGGAGGAGGAGGAGGAGGAGGAGGAGGAGGAGGAGGAGGAGGTGGAGGAGGAGGGGGAGGGGGAGGTGAGATGAAGGAGGAGGAGGAGGAGGAGGAGGAGGAGGAGGAGGAGGAGGAGGAGGAGGAGGAGAGAGGAGGACGGGTCGCCCAAGCCCTTCGGAGAAACCCTCCACGTTCCCCCCCTGCCCCCTCCACCCCTGCGCAGGCCTGCGAATAGATGGTGTAGCCCCCCTGGAAGGCGCCTGAGGCCGGCCAGCTCGCTCACCTCCCTCTCTGGGTGTTCGTCAACGGGGGGGCGCGGTTCAGCGGTGGACAAACCTCCCTTTAGTAAACCTCCCCTTAGCGAAAACGGCCTGGGACCGAAACCGACCGACCTGGACCCGCAAAAATGACGGCCGCGACGCCCTCTCGCGAACCGAAAACGGCAAATTCCTTAATCGACGTGTCAGGGTAGGAGGTCTATCCACCCCCGAGCGATAAACTTAGGTCGGGCATGTCCCCCTGCAGGCGGACTTTGGACAAACCAAAAAACAGTAGTCCAAAAATACTCAACCCTGCTTGAAAAATGCTCGAAAAAACGTCCCCTGACTATCTCGGACTACTTTGAATACTCCCCGGTGAAGAAATGCGCCAATGTTCGTGCACCCCTGGGGCCCGCACAAATAGAAACTTTTGGCGCTCCGCGCGGACCTCTTGGATCTGCGCTGGACCCCCTCCCTGGCGCGCGGAGCGCGCCGGGGGCGGCGCCGGGGGCCCCGCGCGGATCCGAGAGATCCGCGCGGAGCGCCACAAGTTTATGCTCAGGCCGTTTCTGTTTCTTCTTCCGTGGGGGCCCTTTGGGGGGCCGCTGTCCTGCACGCCTCGACCCCGCCACGTGTACTGCACCCCCGCTGCCGGCCGCCCCCCTGCTGCTCCGCCGCACGGCCCACAGGGCCCGAGCCCGCGCGGCAGACACCCAGAGACCAGCACCGAGGGGAGGCCCTCGACCCCCCCCCGCCCAGCCAGAGGGCGCAGAGCTCTCGGGCGACGAAGTCTCTACATGACCACTGCTCCCCGGCCAGGCCCATCCTGAACCCAGCAGCGGTGCATTCGCCGCGGCGCCCTCCTGGCTTGGCCAGGAGGGCGTGCACAACACCGCTCCTGGGTTTAGGATGGGCCTGGCCGGGGAGCGGTGGATCTGTATAGATTTCGTCGCCCGGGAGCTGCGGGTCTCGAACGGACCCTTCCGTCTTCAACATTTCACAGGCGCGGCGCGGCCCAGGCTTCGCACGGAGGCGCAGCCAGCGACCCCACCCCCGCTCGAGAGGAACTGTTTGTGGCCGCAGCGGCGCGGAGCCCCACGCCGCGGTCGGAAGCAGCCCGAGGCGCGCCACCGGGGCCGAGTTGGGGGCACACCTGTACACCACCACCGTGCCCAGCCAGGGTCATCCTGGCCCTGGCGCGGTGCATGCGCCCTCCTTTAGGAGGCAACTACTGGGAGGTTTTCGTCGGAAAGGTTAAGGAGGATTAAGCCCCATTGGGGGGCTATTATGCCGGAGTGGGCCTCGGATTAAGCCAAATTAAACTGGATTCAGCGGAATTAAGCCGGATTAAGCGGTATTAAGCAGGATTAAGCCGGATTTCGGACCAAGGCAAAATCAGAATTTGACCTCCCAGGAGTTGCATCCGAACAGGAGGGTCTGTGCACCGTCCCTGGGCCCAGGATGGCCCTGGGGGGGGAGGAGGAGGAGGAGGAGGAGGAGGAGGAGGAGGAGGAGGAGGAGGAGGAGGAGGAGGAGGAGGAGGAAGGAGGAGGAGGAGGAGGGAGGAGGAGGGAGCCGCGGGCGGCGGAGCACGCTCGCGCGCCGCGTGTGTGCCAAAGGCCCCCCTCAAAAGAGGAGCCAGAAACGGCACGGAGGTCAGGTCGGCCATGTCCTCCTATCGGGCCGGGCGAAAGGGAACGATAGCCAAGGGGGGGGGTGAGAATCAGCTCACGTAGCTGATTTTCCCGGCGCCTCCCGGCGTCCGGAGGCGCCCATGTATCGAGGAATGGGCCCGGCGGCGGGGCCGAAACCAGCTGCATGCAGCAGATTTCGTAACCCCCCCTTTCCCTATCCCCCCTTTCGTTCGGCCCGATCCCACGGGAGGAATGCAGAGGAAGCACTAAAAAGATGATCCAAAAATACTCGAACAAAAATCAGAAATAGTCGGAACATCGTCCCAATATTATTGCTTTTGACTAGTCTCGAAGCTTCCTCCTGTAGAAGGACATGCCCGACCTAACACTACGATTAGGTCGGGCACGTCCCCTATACAGGCGGATTTGGGGCGAAGAATTAAAACTTCCAGACATATTCAAAAAACAAAAAAAACTAAAATTGATACAACAAATCGTCCCCTGATCACTTTCTTACTATTCTTGAATATCCCCCTGTAGTAGGGCGACGAAATCTATACATATCCACTGCTCCCTGGCCAGGCCCATCCTCAACCCCGCAGCGGTGTATACGCCACGCCCTCCTGGCTTGGCCAGGAGGGCGCATACACAGCTCCTGGGTTCAAGATGGGCATGGTCAGGGAGCAGTGGATATTTATAGATTTCGTCGCCCGACCCTGTAGAAAGGCGTGCCCGACCTGGAATTGCGACACAAACCCTCGGCGCTCCGCGCGGCTCTCCCCGATCGGCGGCCGGGGGCCCCCGTCGCGCGGGGAGCCCGGCGCCGCGCCCGGGAGAGCTCCGCGCGCGAGGCTCCAGAAGCTGCTGCTCGTGCCGCCGTGGTCTTCCTCCACTGCTGCAAGGTGGCCCCAGACGTGGGCCCCTCCTCCTCCTCCTCCTCCTCCTTCTCCTCCTCCTCCTCCTCCTCCTCCTCCTCCTCCTCCTCCATGCTCGGGCCGCTGCGGTCTTCCTCGACTGCTGCAAGATGGCCCAAGATGCGGGCCCCAGTGATAATTACACCAACGCAGAGAAGTCGCCCCGTGGCTACTCTGAGTTGCTGGATAAGCGTCGGGGGGGTACCCCCCGACGGGGGGTAACGTCGCCTCGTCGTCGCTCCGCGACGGGGGTCGGAGCGCCTTCGGTGCGCTGTCGGCGGGGGTGACGCCCCCCCGACGCTCATTAGGAAACCCGGGGTGTAAGGAAAAGAGGAAGAAAGCAGAAAAGGAGGGAGAGGGTCGGGCCAGGCGAAAGGGGGGATAGCAAAGAGGGGGGGGTGAGAATCAGCTCACGTGGCTGATCTTCCCGGCGCCGCCGGGCGCCGGGGGCGGCCACGCATCGAGGAATGGGCCCGGCGGCGGGGACGAAACCAGCTGCATGCAGCAGATTTCGTACCCCCCCCCCTGTCGCTATCCCCCCCTTTCGTTCGGCCCGAGAGGCGAGGGAGGAGGAGCAGCAGCAGAGGCAAGCAGAACAGGCGCGCGGGCGCGGCCGGCGGCCGGCGCCCGCCGCCAGCGCCTCGGCGCGGCCGGGGCGCGCGTCCCGGCCCGGCCCGGCAGCTCCCCTGGCGGCCTCGCGCCCCCTGGGCCGCCGCCGTGGCGGACCCCAGTCATACACACCACTAGAGTCAGGTCGCGCATGTCCCCCTACAGGCGGATTTTGGACGAAAAATCAACAATACGAACAAAATGCTCAAAAACATTCACAAATTGTTTAAAAAAAAATCGTCCCCAGACCATTTTTTGATTATTTTTGAATGTCCCTCCTGTAGAGGGACGTGCCCGAGTTAACACTGGAGTCAACCAGTATCATGAGGATGCGCGGTGAGGATGCGAGGGCCCTGGAGGCCCATATGAGCGTCTTGTCGCACGAGGCTGGCCAGCGAAAGTCGCTGAGGACGGGCCGAAAGGGCAGGGATGCGAGGGTGCCATTGGGAGGGCTGCCCAGCCTTACTGTGCGGGTTGACTGCACCACCACCTCTCACTGCACCGACCTTGCAGACGTGCTGCAGCGGATTTTCGGCGTGGATTGGATTTCTGTCAACGCAAAACCCCGAAAGGGCAAGCGCAAAAACGAAGCGAATTTCGCATGGATGTTTTTAGTCTTCATTCCTGGTCAAATAAAAATCTGAGCGAAATTCACATCAAAATCCGGAACGAAATTATCCAGAACACTCCGGGCCCATCCTACTGTTTTCCAAACGAAATCCGCTCTGAAAGGTTGGCGCCATGAGACCTCCATCCCCCCCTCCCTCCTCTGCCCTCCTCTGCCTCTCTCCTCCTGGGAGGGGGAGGGGGGAGCAGGAAAGGTGGTCGTGGTGCATACGATCAGGTCGGGCGTGTCCCCCTACAGGCGGATTTCGGACGACTAATCAAATTATTCACTGCGTGGAGCTCCCTATATGTGCATCTGTTCGCATGGACCTGTCCGCCGTGAGTGTCTAGGCGCAAGGGTTGTCGAATATAAGCGGGCTTGAGTTGTGACGGTCTGGTCACGAATCTACATGCGAACGAATTGGAGCGTGAATGAGTCTCAGTAGTGCGAGCGCGTCTCTGCGCATCAGCCTGGGGCCTCCTGCGGCCTCCTGCAACCTCCTGGGGGCTCCTGGGGCCTCAAGGAGCCTCTTGGGGCCTCCTGGGGCCTCTTGGGGCTTCGAGTGGCCTCCTGAGGCCTCCCGGAGCCTCGCGTGGCCTCCTGGGGCCTCCTGGAGCCTCCTGGGACCCCCTAGGGAGGATTCGTGCCACAGGAGGGGCCCAATCTATAGGAACAGACGTACATAAAACATTGCGGATCGGAGCCGCAGGAGAAGGGCAATATATAGGAACACACGTAAAACACCAAGGACTCGTGCCCCAAGGGAGGCCCAAGCTATAGGAGCATACGAAAAAACTAGTAGGATTGTACACCTGGGAGAAGGACAAATATGTAAACATACATATAACATCAAGGATTCGTGCTCCAGGTGAGGCCCAATCTATAGGAGCATACGTAAAACACATGGGATTGGAGCCACTCCTGTCGCCTTCTGAGGCCTCCTGCTCCTGGGGCCTCGGGGCATCCTGTTGCCTTCTGGGGCCTCCTGGCGCTTCCTGTGGCCTCATGGGGCCTCCTGTGGATTCCTGAGGCCTTCTGGAGCTTCCTGGGGCCTCCTGGAGCCTCTTGGGACATCCTGTGGCCTCTTGAGTCTTCCTGTGCCCTCCTGATGCCTCTTGGGACCTCATGTGGCCTCCTGGGGCCTGCTGGAAACTGCTGGAGCCTCCTCTGGCATCCTGGGGAGAAGATGTGCCCACGAGTCTGGTCACCAAAGCAGGCAACCGCTCGAAACATCCTCATAATCTGGGCCCCCTGGGGTGCGATAACCAGCGCCTCGCACGAGACATCCTCAGAATCTGCTCCGAAAGCGGTGGAAATTGGCGACCGAAACAGGCAAACCGCTCGAGACATCCCCGCAATCTGGGCACGAACGGAGGCCGTGAGATACCCCTGGCGGCCCCCCCTTAGGAGGCGCCTCGCACGAGACATCCTCTGACATCCTCAAAATCTGCTCCGAAAACGGAGGATGTTCGCGACCAGAACAGGCAAACCGTTCGAGACAGCCCCGCCATTTTGGCGCGAACGGAGGCCGCGAGATACCTCCTAGCGCCCCCCCCTTAGGAGTGCTAAAACTAGCAAACCGCTCGAGAAATCCTCATCATCTGCTCATCATCATCATCATCATCATCATCATCATCATCATCATCATCATCATCATCATCATCATCAGCATCATCATCATCATCATCATCATCATCATCATCATCATCCATCATCATCATCAGCAGCAGCATCATCATCATCATCATCAGCAGCAGCAGCAGCAGCAGCAGCATCATCCTCTCATCATCATCATCATCATCATCATCATCGGTCATCGTCACACCATCACATCACCATCACATCACCATCACCATCATCCACCATCACCATCACCATCCATCATCATCAATCATCATCATCATCATCATCATCATCAATCGTCATCGTCATCATCATCACCATCATCATCGTCATCGTCATCGTCATCGTCATCACCATCACCATCACCATCACCATCATCATCATCCTCATCATCATCATCATCACCATCACCATCACCATCACCATCATCCATCATCACCATCATCATCATCATCATCATCATCATCATATCATCACTCATCCATCATTCACCATCACCATCATACTCACATCATACTCTCACCACAAGGATCGTCATCATCATGACACTCATCATCATCGTCTAGTGCAGAGGGCGGAGAGAGTGGAGGGATAATGATGAGGGGTCCGGCTCGGCCAGAGAATAACAAGTACCCCATCCTTCGGATATGGGGGAAAGTATTCAAAAAGCATCAACCAGGCTCCAAAAATCGAAATCCGACTATCTTTTGACTGTTCTTGAATCTTCCCCCTTTGGAGGGACAGGCCCGACTTCCTCCTGGAGAGGGGGGGGAGGGGGGGAGGAGACGTGGTCGTGGTGCACACGATCGGGCCGCGTGCCAGGACGCCCCATCCACGCCCGAGGGCCCCTGTGGACCCGGGGCCTCGCCGCTGGGCGGGGCGCACCCCCTCGCTGCCCCTCCGCGCCCCTGGCCTCAAGTCGGGCGTGTCCCCCCACGGGCGGATGAATCCGCCGGCCCCCTTGCGGGGCCACCGGGCTGCAGGCCGAAGCTTCGCAGTTTCTGGCACCAGGTTGCAGCTTACAGTTTCCACTGTCACAGTTCTGTGTCTTGCTGTTCACTGCTCCTCGTTACACTTCTGCCTCTTGCTGCTTGCTGTTCCTTGTTGATGGACCGCGCGAGGGGGTGAGGCCCAAAACGAGCATGTTCACCCCTCACGCAGATCGGCGGGGTCTGGGTGCAAAAACACACGGGATTTGCCACATGTCTGAAACTCGGTGGCACCCCTCACGCAGATCGGCAAGGTCAGGGTCCAAAAACACACGGGATTTGCCACATTTCTCAAATTCGGCGACACCCCTCACGCAAATCGGCGGGGTCAGGGTGCAAAAACACACGGGATTTGCCACATTTCTGAAATTCGGCGACACCCCTCACACAGATCGGCGGGGTCAGGGTGCAAAAACACACAGGATTTGCTACAGGTTTGAAATTCGGTAACACCCCTCACTCAGATCAGCAGGGTCAGGGTCCAAAAACACAAGGGATTTGCCACATTTCTGAAATTCGGTGGCACCCCTCACGCAGATCGGCGGGGTCAGGGTCCAAAAACACATGGGATTTGCCGCATTTCTCAAATTCGGTGGCACCCCTCACGCAGATCGGCAGGGTCAGGGTCCAAAAACACACGGGATTTGCCGCATTTCTCAAATTCCGCGGCACCCCTCACGCAGATCGGCAGGGTCAGGGTCCAAAAACACAAAGGATTTGCTACATTTCTGAAATTCGGCGGCACCGCTCACGCAGATCCGTAGGGTCAGGGTCCAAAAAACATGAGGGATTTGCTACATTCCTGACATTCAGTGGCACCCGTGACGCAGATCCGTAGGGTCAGGGTCGAAAAACAAACAGGTTCCGACACTGCTTCACGGAGGCGCCCAGACCTCATGATTTAGCTGTTGCATATCCCACTATCCGAGACAGGGGGCCGGCGGCATGGGGCGAAGCCCTTACGAATTTTATATATGTGTGTATATATATATATATTCTCATATATATATATATATATATACAGAGAGAGTGGTTTAAAAAGGGGGAAAAAACAAAAAACAAAAAACGAAAAATCGTCCCCAGGCTATATCTTTCTACGTTTGAATATTCCCCCTGTAGAGGGACGTGCCCGCCTTCACCCTGGCCCTAAATACCGAAGGGGCCCAAAGAGACACAAATAAATCGACACATATTCCAGGATCCCCCGTATTAGTTCATCTTCTACCGTAGGAGCCCGACCACAAGAGACCTTCCACGCGAAACCAAACCCTGAGACCACAGGGCGTCCATGGATGTTTGTTGTGGGCGCGTCACGCCTTCCAACAGCATAACCATCGGAACCCAAATAACCCAGGGCACCCTGGAGGCAAGCATGGTGTTTCTTGACATGGGCTTCCGGCTTAGAGGCCATGGAAATACGCTTTGGATCCATCTGGGGTCTTGTTGCTCCCTCGTCGAATAGAGCGGACACACTCCGCCCTCGGTTGGGATCAGGACGGACTGGATCCCAAGTCCATCGGATCGGTCAGGCAACTAATGAGCAGTCTCATATCTCGGGGCCACCGAGTCAATGCAACTGTGCTGCCACAAATTCCTCGGTTGACGCAGCCCTCCTGATCGTGATTTGGAGTTCAGCAAGAAACAGGGGGCGGCGGCCGCTACTGCAAGGCGCCTGGCATATTGCGCTGGGTCGCCGCCATCTGAGCCATCTGCACCTCGGACATGGCTACTAGGCATCCGCAGAAGAAAAAGAAACGCCCGCGAATAGAGAGAGACAGAGCGAGAATGAGAGAGAACGATAGAAAGAAAGCGAGAGAGAGAGCATGAGAGAATGAAAGAATGAGAGATTAAGAGCGAAAACGTGATGCGGCAGGAAAAGAGAATGTGACGCCGATCGATTTCAAAATACAATCATAGAATCCCATCCGCTCTCCAGTAACTGTTCCAGAAGAACAAACATGGATCCTAGCGGAAGACCAACCACATGCAAGTGTGAGTACCATGTTGTGGGAGCCGACCGCGTTCGGTGGAGCTCCGCATGGGAACACGAAGCGTGTGAAAGGCGTGCCGAAATGGGCGCGGTGGTACCATGCGGGCGCTGCCCTGGGGCCCTCGGTGGAGCTCCCTATGGGGCCACGAAGCGTGTGAAGGGTGTTCCGGAACGGGTGCGGCGGTGCCGTGCGGGCGCTGCCACCGGGGCCTTCGGTGGAGCTCCTTAGTGGGCCGCGAAGCGTGCGAAGAGTGCGCCAGACTGGGCGCGGTGGTGCCATGCAGGCGCAGCCACTGGGGCCTTCGGTGGAACTCCCCACAGGGCCAAGAAACGTGTGAGTGGTGCGCCGAAACGGGCGCGGCGGTGCCATGCGAGCGCAGCCACTGGGGCCCTCAATGGAGCTCTATATGGGGCCACGAAACGTGTCAGAGGTGTGCCAGAGTGGGCGCGGTGGTGCTATGCGAACGCAGCCACTGGGGACCTCGGTGGTGCCCCCATACGGGGCCACGAAACGTGTGAGGGACGTGCCGCGGTGGACGCGGTGGTGCCATGCGAGCGCTGCCAGTGGGGCCATCGGTGAAGCTCCTTATGGGGCCACGAAGCGTGTGAACGTGTGACGGGTGTGCCGACATGGATGCGGTGGTGCCATGCGAACGCAACCAGTGAAACCATCGGTGGAGTCCCCTACGGGGCCGCGAAGCGTGTGAGGGGTGTTCCGAAACGGGTGCGGGTGTGCCGTGCGAGCGCTACCACCGGGGCCCTCGGTGGAGCTCCCTATGGGGCCACGAAACAAGTGAGGGGTGTGCCGAAGTGGACGTTGTGGTGCCATGCGGGCGCAGCCACTGTGGCTTTCGGTGGAGCCCCGTGTGGGGCCACGAGGCGTGTGAGGGGTGTGCCGAAAACGGGCGCGGGGACGCATGCGAACGGTGCCAATGGGACATTCGGCGAAGCTCCTTATAGGACCACGAAACGTGTGAGAGGTATGCCGAAACGATTGACATGCGGAGGGCAAGGGCGGGGACGCGAGGCGGGGAGGAAGGAAGGAGGGGCGAGGAGGGGAAAAAGGAACGCGGGGCGCTGTCGCATCAGAACGAGGACCCAACACCACAGGATGGTTGGAAAAAACCTTGGCAACGGACACAGCCATATGCGGATGCGGGTACCGAAAAAACAAACAAAACGAAACAGAGGCAACGGCCCAATGTATGGGGCCAAGAAACGTGTAAAGGGTGTACCGAAATGGGCGCGGCGGTGCCGTGCGAACGCTGCGACCAGAGCCTTCGCTAAAGCTCCCCATGAGGCCACGAAACGTGTGAGGGGTGTGCCGAAAACGGGCGCGACGGAGTCATTCGAACACAGCTGCTGAGGCCTTCGGTGGAGCTTCGTATGGGGCCACGAAACGTGTAAGAGCATGCAGAAATGAGCGCGCCAATGCCAGGCGAACGCAACCAGTGTGGAGATCCGTATGGGGGCACGAAGAATGGGAGTCATGTGCCGAAATAGACGCGGCGGCGCCATGCGAACGCAGCCTGTGGAGCCTTCGGTGAGATCCTTATGGGGCCACGAAACGTATGAACCGGGTGCCGCCATGGGTGCGGCGGTGCCATGCGAACGCAGCCAGTGGGGTCTTCGGTGGGGATCCTTGCGGAGCCACGAAGCGCGTCAGGGTTATGCCAAAGTGGGGGTCGGGCGCATGCACGTACGCAGCCACTGTGGTCTTCGGTGGAGCTCCCCCTGGGGACACGAAGCACGTGAGGGGTGTGCCGAAACGGGCGCGGCGGCGCCATGCGAACGCAACCATTGGGACATTCGGTGGTGCCACGAAACGCGTGATGTGCCGACATGGATGCGGCAATGCCACTCGAACGCACAGACTGACGCCTTCGGAGAAGATCCCTATGCGACCACGAGACGTGTGAGAAGTGTGCCGAAATGAACACGACGGCGCCATGAGAACCCAGCTGCCAGGGTCTTCGGTGGAGCTCCGCGTGGAACCACGACGCGTGTGAGGGGTGTGCCAAAATGGACGCGGCTGCGCCATGCGAACGCAACCACTGGAGCTTTCGGTGAACTTCCCTGCGGGGCTACAAAAGGCGCGCGGGGTGAACCGAAATGTGCGCGGCGGCGACACGCGAGCACAAATGTGCACGGCGGCGCCCTGCGAACACAACCACTAGGGCATTCGGTGGAGATCCGCATGGGGGCACGAAGTGCGCGGGGGGGGGGGCCGACGTTGGCGCGGCGGCGCCATGCGAACGCAGCCACTGGGGCCTTCGGCGGAGATCCCTGCGGGGCCACGAAACGCGCCATCGACGCCAGGCGGCGCGCCTTGTCCGCTTTCCCCTGGGCGCGCCACACACCCCAGGCGGCGCGTTCGCCTCCCTGTGGCACCGCCTCTGCGCGGGTCCGCTGTTGACGCGCCTGCTCGCGCGCCAGTTAGGCGCCCCCCTTGCCTGGCCCAGGCGCGCCAGCCGCCTGCACCTGTCGGGAAGCTGCTGCCGCCTAGGGCCGCGCGCGCCGCCAACGCGCGGCCGGGCGACCCCGCCAGCCACGCCACTGCGCCAACTGGTCCGCGGCGCGCGCAGGGCGGCGCCTGGCTGCAACGTTGACACTTGCGCCCGCGCCCCGGCGCCGCCCCCCTTTCCCGCCCCCCACCACCTTAGCCTTCGCCATCCTCCATCCCCCATTGGGGCTGCGATGCGCGCAACAGCCAGGGCCTGCCACTGCTGCCCCCCCTTTCGCCTGCTGCTTTGCGCGCTAATTCCGCGCAGCAGCTCGCGCCCGCGCCGTCGCCCGGGCCTCACGGCCGCCCCGCCCCCGCCCTTGCGGCCGGCTTCGGGCCGCCGCCCCCCTGCCCCCGGCCCCGCAGCACCGGCGCGCGTCGCGGACGCGTTTCGCCTCCGCCGCCAACAGTCAGCCGCCCGCGGCCGCCGCAGCGGACTGCTTTCGCACAGCCTGCCCGGCAGCTAACTCCGCCGTGCCCGCGCGCCTTCTGCCCTCGGGGCTCCGTCGGCCCCGCTGCCGCCGCCCTCGCCGCCCCTCCTGGGATTCGCCTCCCGGCTGCCTCGTTTCGGGAGCCTTCGCCCTGACCTTTCCATGGGCCGGGCGCCGCCTGCCCTCGGCTGCGATGCGCGCACCAGCCTTGGCCTGGCACAGTTGCCCTTTCCCCCCCCGCGCCGCCGCTGCCATCTGCGTTGACGCCTAGGTCTCGCGTCCGCCCTGCCCCCGCCCCCACGGCCGGTTTCGGCTCGCTGGCTTCGGATTGCGCGAAGGACGCGCCCCTGCCTCCGCCCCCGGCTCCGCCGCCACCCCCGACGGGCCAACTGACGCCCTTCTGGCCCACGGCCGCAGCTTGCTCCAGCGCAGCCCGCCCAGCAACCGAGTTCGCGTAGAACCGCCAGAAACTTGAGCGCGCAAGTCTTGCATAAACAATGCCGTCGCAGTCGAGTCCGATCGAATTCGAGCCGATGGGGGCCGCCTATATTCCCTCTCTCTCTCTCTCGAGCAGCAGCGGCAAGCACAGTAGGTGCGTCGGCAAGTTGATATCCCCACGCCACCAGAGTGCCTCGCATAATGTACGCGGCCTCCGCCTCGCCTATGGCGCAAGTATCTGCCAGCTGTAGAATAGCTTGATTTCCAACGCACGGTCGCTCCTAGTCGTTGCACCCCCCCCTCGATGATCCCCAGATCTACGGCCACGCGTTTATCTATCGCCGCCCCAGCACTACTGCGTGGCACCACGCGATCACACAAGGACCTACAGTCAGACACAGCAATAAGACCCAGACGTGGTAGGGAATCACAACGGGCCGCCAAGGAAAATAACGGATCTAGGGCCCCCAGGAAGATGCAGTCAGGCCATCCACGTGTCCGAGCGCACCCACGCGCACCTGAGCCTCTGCCGCAAGGGTAGACGCCGTCGCTCGAAGGAGTCGGCAGCTGCGCCAGCACAGAGGACTCCAAAGATCAAGATAATTTCCAATCATAACTTCGTCCGTAGCAGCAATCATAGACCCAGCTTGAGGACCGGAACCTACAGCATATCTGCTTGAAGCATCAGCGCGAGCAACAACTCGCAATCGAGCTAGAGGTATACGTCGGACTCGCCATCACATCGCACTGAACTGCTTCGCCCGTCGAACAAGAGCACTAGCGTGTCGCATGTGCACCATGGCGGGTTGAAAGGGGGATCTGCTGGCCCATTGATTCCTGGACGGCGATGTCCCGACGCCCCCCTCGCATGTCCATTTCCACATGCCACCAATGCCCGTGCATTCGAAATCACGTTATCCGTTGCTGGCAGATCAGGTGGACACCGGGTCGACATCCCGCGGGCCTCATCTGGGCGGCGAATCCTCGTTGAGACACAAGCAAATCGAATGGACTTTGGATCCTGACACAGAGGTGATCCACACAACCCCCTTTGCCAACACACCACCCACGACATAGGAAAGAGCTTCAGAGACGCTGAATGACGCGACGATATTTCGCACCACAGCCTCCAGAGAGGGCATCATCAACATGCGCAACGATGAGACCGCGCAGCTCGGCCCCCACGTAGACGCAGAACATGCGCGGGCGCATCTTCGACCAGGCCCATCCTGAGCCTCCTGATTCGGGGCTCCACTGCAACAACGCATCTCGATGTTTTACCACAACATCGCAAAATAGTCACTCGGGCCTTAGATGGGCCCAACGACCTCCAAGATCTGGTCGGGAGCCAGACCGGGTCGAATAACGCTCGGCTGGCGGAGGTCGACATTGCCCGATGTCCGTCTGTTTCCAGAGACGCGCCAGCCACGTTCACGATGCTCATCCAGACCTCGCACGGCGCCAAGAGTGGGTAGACTGCCACCTTACCATTGTGGGATAGCGTCGAAGAAGACGTCTTCCGCTCACAAGCCAGTTGTGGGAAATCAGGATCAGAGCATTCCTGGCCACAGAGACGAGCTTCCATGATCTCCTAGTTGACGTCGTCGACCTTCGAGGCCACCACCGCGCGGCCGACCAGAATGCGATCAGGACTGCCACGGCGGATTTTAGCGGACCCCTCGGAGCTCAGGGGCAGCAACGACTGCTTCTCCGAGTGAACGTTGGCCCACTCTTACACGATGCCAGCCGACACTGTCGATCCCCCTTTCTCACTGCACGCGATATGGGGCGTTTGAGATTGATATCCTTCCTGCCGCTCGCCACAAGAACGCCGCCCACCTAGGCGTTTCTACATTGGCCAGCACGCATGGTCGAGGTCGGACTACCGGTTCTCGCCGAAGTAGCTCCCCCCGCCATACCTCAAGACCTCGTTCGATGCGGCGGCCGGAGGCGGAAACAGACTCATCGGGAAGGCGTTGCCCCCCAAGGCCCGGCCACTCCCTCGGAAAATGGCGACGAAGAAGATCTCTGATCTTGGCCAGTTGGCGCCAGCTCAGGTCGAGCTGGAGCAGGGCCCACAGCGACCCCCAGTTCGGTCGGCGGACTCTCTGCCGATGCATCTAGTTGACCAGATGGCGCCTCAACTCGCGCAAGAACAACAGCGTCAGGAGCTAACGGCGTCGCGCCATCAGCCGCCGGCGGCCCACCGCCCTCGGCGATGCCCAGGGAACCGCGCCGAGGACCCGCGCGAGACATGAATTCTAGAGCCCGAATCTGCAATTCTGGTCGGACCACCTCCTCAGCAAGCCTCTCCCCCTCCGTAGCCAAACGCAGCTGTTCTGGAGACGCTTCCAGCACCGCGCCCCGCATCGCCCCCGCATCGCCGCCCAGTAGTTGCCTCGAACAGGGCCGACGATGACTCCAGAACCGCGCCATCTCGCGCGAGCCTTCCCCCGTGGGGCGCCGCGCCAACAACGTCACGCAGCCGCGCGACCCCCCTGAGCAGACCCCGCGGAAGACGCGAGGTCGGGCACCCAGGACCACCCGAGCAGCGCGATCGCCGATCCTCGAGGACTTCCATGCGAGCCGTCTGGCAGCACCGCTCAGCACACTCAAACGGCTCATCCTTGACCAATATAGCGAAATAGTTTCCACGATTGCCGCGACAAGGCAGACCATCCATCTCCCCTTGGCACCGGGAGCACTCTGATCACGGGTCCTTTGTATGTAAAAATCAAGATACTGGCCACGACGCCCCGCTCGACCGATCCGCGCATGAGCTTCGCCTGCAGGGCCGCGTGCCCCAATGCCACGGCTGCCCGGGTGCCCCATCAATCCCCGGCCACAGTTGCCATGGCTCGCGTCGAGCCCGATCATCTCGAGCTCGCCGCAGGACCTGATCCACGACGCAAAGAATCCTCGCGGGGGCACCTCCCCAGTCCCGGCCGCAAATAAATTATGCATATGTTGCGAAGCACTCGAGCCGCACAGAAAGTCTAGACACTTGACCTTCACCGCATCGACCAAGTCTCCTCCTCGACGTCCGTCTCGAACAGTTTCAGTAGGGCCACCGCTGTCGGCAGCGCACTCGGGCTGCTTCCTGCCATCACAGACTGATCACTTCCGATCCCGAGCTGTTCTGGCGACCGTGTCACTGGCTTTCACGTGTTTGAGCACTCTGATCATGTCCTCGTTACTGGGATAGCCCAGATGGGCATGAAGTCTCCGAAGTGTCGAAATCAAGTTGACGTCGCTCCACGACCCCCCAAACCCCCCACCCACCCACCCACCCACCCGCCCACAGCCTCTGCAGCAAGCACCTGATCAACCCCGTTGACCTCGCCCACGACAAGCTGGATGAGAAGGCCATCCGCTAAAACTTCCACCAGCTGCGGTAGATGCGCTTCTGAAAGCACACTACGATTGACTCCGCCAGAACTGCCCACACAAGACTGATGATAACGTCGCTCATCGCACCGTCGCTCGAGACTCCACTCCAATACACCACCGGCTGTCGCATTGCACCATGCATTCTATAGCGGAAACCTTGATAGTGAATCTGTCGAGTCGACCTGGCAGCCCTGCACTGACACCTCGAGAGCACCTGGTTCGAAGACCCCGGGCGCCCCACGTCTTGGCCGCCACGGGAAAGAAATGGCCATCAGACAGCTGGACTACCCCGGCAATCCCGACGCAGAGAGCGACCGCATCCATAGCTTCACGGAGATCGGCATGCTCTTTAGCTTCGCCCTCTGACGCATTATCATCTAGACCAAGAACCCTTCAGATCTCCCCACTCCCGTCGACATAGAATCCCTGACGCCCCAGCCTGACAGCACTCAAGCGTATCATCAAAATCCTGGCCACGACCATCACCGACCTGCGGGACCCAGCCCGGCCACTGCGAAAACCCGCGGTCGCCCCCGCCACCTGCGCCAAGAAAGCCTCGGACGGCTCAGCCCCCACATCCACCTCCGGGGTAGACACCTGCCGTTGGGTCTCGTCGACCAGCTCGCACAAGTTCAACAGGTACTGACCGCTCTCTGCTTCCCACAGCGGCGCCGTGACACCAGGCTTCTCAAAAATCACCTGGTCTCTCAGGGCGCCAATGGTGGCACGCAAACTCTCGAGCATCAGCTTGCTCAGCAACACCGGCACCATTCCAAGGAAAACGCACAATCGAATGCTGACTTCCCGGCCACCCATCCGACACTGAATCCCCACATGCGCAATCGACTTCTGGGTCTGCTGATTTCCGAACCTGAACGCAATGAATCTAGCACGGACAAGACGCGCGAGGTCCAGCCCAGCCCTGTTCATGGAGTCATCATGCTCCTCCAAGGTATCTTTACCATTCAGACCTCTACCAACTCCAGTACCACCACCCCACGACCAGCATCGCGACATGGCACCAAATCCTTCGCCGTCTCCTTGAGTTCCGTCTTCTTGGTCAGGTCCGAAAAATGATTGCAAATCATGTCGATGTCATCATCCGACTCCTCATCCGCCACCATCGTTGACATGGACTCGTGCTCTGGAGCCTCCGGGACGTACTTGACCTTAAACGCCAGCGGACTCTTCATTAGCTGGCCGAGGACTCCGCGGCTTCTTGCAGACACGACTGACATGGCCAACCTCGTCACTTGAAACACTTCGTTATCCGAGCAAGTGCCTTGAAGTCTGGCGTTCTCGGTCCGAAACATTTCGACAACTGCTCTTTGGTGATCCTCTTCCTCTGCTCCTTCCACGTCACCAGCACATGAATCGCGTCGGCCTCGCCCAGCGCCTCGTCTTGTCTTCACTCCCGGTCAGCCGCGATCAGAGCGTGGATCTCCTCGTCCAAGGAATCCGTCCCTTCTGGGATCTAGCTCCCCACCACATCATTCACCCCAGCATGTCGGTCGCGGCGCCTTTTGCCTTAGTCCGCCAGGCCGTTCGGGAACGTAGTCCGCACAGCCTGGGCAACCTCGACCTTCATGCAGGACAACTGCAATGTTCTGAGCCTGCAGCTGAGCCCCCATCTGCAGATGAGCCCCCATAAGCAAAAGGAAACCCATGGCCATCGGAGGAAGTAGCACACCCTCTGCATCACCTTCGAGAGTACGCCGCACTAGCTCTGCCACAGTACTGCACCATGGTCTCGACGCGCGTGACATTCAGGCGGAAAATCTCGGTCAGCGCCTCTCCGAGGCGATCGTGGGCGGCGAAGTCGGGGAACCTCTCGTCTAGGACACCAAAGATGAAGGCCTGTCATTGTTCCACCTCCAGCTCATGGACGTCGAGCGTCGCGACTGCCCGCGCCGTCACATCACGAAGCTAAACTGGAAAAGACCCGCCGCAGCGGCTGGAACTCCTCGTGCTCGTTGGACCACCAGGTAGGCTCGCGCCCGATTCGCATGTGGCCAAGCACCCGAGTAGCAACGGACCGCGACCGAATTGCACTCACTGTTGATCGGCATGCTGCCGTCTCTGCCGTGTACGATCCACTCCAAACTGAAGCTGCTGAAGAAAGCTTCGTACTAGACACCAACCTCGGTGTCGCCACTGTCATCAATGTCGTCATCCTTCACGCCCGTGACGGTCACCAACTCCGCGCTACCAATGCAGATCGCCCGCGAGGCCCCCCGGACGCGGGGGCCTTCTCTCTACTGAAACAGGCCGAAGTGGCTGTCAGGTGCAAGCACGGGCGCGAGCATGCGAGCACGCACGCGTAGCACCTGATCCTTTCTGAACGCAGGTTCCCCTCACCCACTCTCCTCACTAGATCACTCAGATCGGCATCAGGCGGAGGGGAGGGGGGGGGAGAGAAATGTCGAGGGGGAGGGGGGCGTGGGGGGGGGGGGGGGGGGGAGGGCGAGGGGGAGGGGGTGGGAGGAAGATGGGAGGGTGGGGGAGCACTTATCAGAGGACCCACCGGGGGGCGGCCCGGAGGTCTCTCGGAAGCGCCCAGGCCTGCGACAGCATCGTGTTGCCGGGCATACCGGGCATCGGTCCGCCTGCAGGGTTGGGCCCTCGTCATCTCCTTTGCTGCAGTTCCCTCTCCTCCTTTCTAATGTTAGGAATACATGAGGCGTGGCCTGTTGCGTCAATCTCCTCCTCCTCCTCCTCCTCCTC